CGTGACTTATGCTGTAAGCGAAATAATGGAATATGGGAAATATGGGAAAAGGGGGAAGAATTCGCCCGACTGCTTTTCATTTTGCACATATTTCCACAGCGAGCTTGTTTTCCGCTTTGTAACAGTCTGGTAAATAGTAAGTGGCCATGTATTGCGGGCTACTCTTTAACTTGGGAACGTGACCGCCTATATACCGGGCCATGCTGCCGCTGCTGCTAGGCTATATACCTTGTTGTTGGTTGGCCAGCAGAGTTGAACCCACGCATGCCAGTTGTTGTTGTTAATTTCTTGTTGTTTTGCGCCTTTTTCCCGCTGCAGCAGCTGGCGGGTGAGAGAGTGAGAGAGATTCATTCATGCAACTGCTGTGTCGTGACGCGTTCTCAGGTACAGTTTCCTTCGGCCGACGGGACGCTCTCTCCGTCGCTCTCTATCTCTCACTGCCACTCTCCCTCTCTCTAGCCGCTGGCACGCTTGGCTTGGCTGGTCTCGTTTCGTATCTCACGGATGCGGATACATATGTCGCTGCCGGCGTCGGCGTCGCTTATTGTTTTTTCCATTATGTAGTAAATATGCCGCCTTGTAAATATATACTCCGATGTAAAGCGGCTGCACTTGTAATTCGCTCTCGGTGGCTCTCTCGCTATCCGCTCGTTCTTTCTCTTTGCCGCAGCGAATTACATTGGCGCGCGCATTTTTCAAATGTTTTTTTACGGCGAAAATAACGATTTTCGTTGCTGCCTGTTTTTGTGGGCTGAAAATATACATTTTATGACTATATGTATACACGCACACGGGACTTGGAGGGACTGACTGGGAGTGCGATTGGGGATGCCCTTGATCAAGGAGATGTGTGGGTTTGAGTTGGGCGCACACACAGGGCGGGCTGTTATCACCAACACGAACCTTTACTAACTTTTCCGTTTGCCATTTTCTCTATTCCCTCTTTTCCAGGCCAAATCCGCAGAATCAAAGAAAGCCAAGAAGGCCGCCGCCGCCGATGGCGATTCCGATGAGGAAGAGGCTCTGGAGGAAATCATCGAGGGCGACAGTGAAATCGAGAGCGACGAATACGATATACCCTATGATGGCGAGGAGGATGACATCGAGTGCGATGGTGAGTTTAAAGCCTTTCCTGCCTCCAAACCCTTGACTAATCCCTAATTTCCCTCTGCAGATGACGATGATGATAATGATGACGGTTCTGGCTCGGACGATCAGGCGTAATAATAATGTAGTCAAAAAATACAAACAAAAACAAACAAAAAATTTAAATTAATAATAAATAAAAGTTACAAGCAAAAACAAAACAAAACAAACAAAAAAAAAAATAATAAACCAACAACCAGAAAATAAACCACAACAAGGAGATGAAGAAGAAGATGAAGATAAGATGAAAGAGATGATAAAAAACACAAAAAAATCGCAAAAGTATATAATTTTTATGTTTAAGAAATAATTTTTTATTTCTTACCTTATTTTAATTGTATTTTATGTGTACTTTTTTTTATAAAAAACTACAAAACAAACAAAAATTGTAATTGAAGGCATTTTCGTATAAAAGCAATCTATACGGAAACCCAACAAAAAGTAAACATCCCCACTATATACAAGAAGAAAAAAAAAACAATACAAAAAACAAAACCAAAATCTTTCTTTCCTTTATGCCATAAGTCCTAATTTAGACGCCAAGTTTATGCGTAAAAGAAAAACCATTACAAAGATATGAAAAAGTAGCGTAAACGAAGCCCATGAATTACACACACACACACACACAATTATTAAAATTCATTATTAAAATTAGACGTTACATTTATGAATGAGATCGAAAGAAACAAAATACAAAACGCAAAAGGCAAAAAATTGAAAAAAGTGAAAAAGCAACAACAGCAAATGCAATTAAATACAAAACAAAAATATGAAAACATAAAAATTGTATTTAAATAAACAGCAAAATCCACATTGACAACCGATTTCGGACACTCAACGTTTTAGATATGGTTTCACAACTTTTCACCTTCCTATCAAGAAATCTCACACATTTCCCCACGGCATCCTGGGACTTTCTAGGTCTTTGCTTTTCCGGGGAAAAACAGAAAAAAGAGAAAATTACATCGGGAAGTTTTATTTCTATCCTTTTGTTTCGTTTCAGCATTTAGCTATTAAACTATACTAATCTTAAGTACTTGTATGTCAGTATTAGGGCGAAGGGTTAATATACATATATTCTGTTGATAAATTGTGCGAGCGAATCGTTAATAATCGATGGCAATTGATTTGTAAATTGTAAAAACCGACCCGAGAATCGAATCGAGCAAGAAATAAACTTTTAATGTTACTTGAATCTCTATTAGTAAGGGTATTCCACAATATTTATACACGCAACAACAATAACGAGTTCATGAAATATATACAAATACATTTAACGACTGATATTCGGACAAGGAAATGTGCACAGTTGGTCAATCAAGGTACTCTCACCCTCTCTCTGAACCACCCAACCACTATTACTATCCGCCAAAACGAACCGATATAACCCAGAAACAGCAACACAGACCACCCACTGACCCAGATCCGAAAAACAAAGAGCATTTAAGGCTTAAAGCTTCGATTGCACACCCATACAACTGGATAATTAAATACCATATAACTGACGCATACATGCCGATGATATATAAGCCAATTTAATACAGATAAAACCATGTTAACGAATCATGCATTTTTGTAAATACAAAACTCTAAACATATGTATGTATCTGCAGAGTACGAAATAAATAACATCCAGAAGTAGTGAAAGGCAGATGAAGAAAAGAACCACGAATCGATATAAAGAGGAAATATGAAACATTTTTAAAAGGATGAAATAAATTATTGTAATTACGTAAAAGCGAATGAAATCATACGTACATATACCTATTGGCATCTATCAGATGCCAATAAAAACTTTGTTTCAATGGCTTTGGAGGGGCTGTTCCTTTCTGTCACGTGGACAGACATTTTGGGTGGGGCAACAACCCCCTAAACGGGATGGGATAATGTGGCTAGGGGTAGCACATATAGGTACATAATTCACTGATTGGCCTTTGTCATTATTCTGTAGGCATGAGGTACAATGGGTACAGATCCCATCCCTCCGCAAAGCTTTCTTGTTTGTATTCGGGGGTTGAGAATACTGGTTTTTACCATCCTCCCTATAGCTCAGAGGATTAAACGTAGCAAGGGATGGAAGAGGGATTCGATTTGAGATCAATAATTGTCAGGGACCGGAAATGGGTATTTTCTGGGTTCTAATATGGGGTCAAGAACTGAAAGTAAATTAGTTGAAAATTTAAAATCTAAAAAATCCAATATGGAGTTGCTTAAAAATTGATGGTAACAGCTGAATCGAAGCGTCTGATAATTTATAGTAGTTAATTTTGTCCAATAATAATTAAACCCCTAAAAATATTCATTTAAAAAACTTAACTCCAATTAAATCGAAATTGGATATTGTTTAATTGGAGTATCAAATTTAAAACATTATTAAATAACTTTACAATTATTACCTTTAAATTCAAATATAACTAGCCGAGTCATGATGAGCATCTGGTCACCTTCAGTATGTATAGATATTCCCCAGGAATGCGTCGCTCCATAAATTTAACGGCCTTGAACTTGAGGCCTTCCAAGTATTTGATAATTTCCTCGGGTTTGTTCTCCCGCAAGAGGAGTAAGTATAGAACTCCTCGTGGAGAGAGAATGTCATCCAGTTGCTTCAGTAGAATGTCTGTGACGCGCCTTCCATCCTGTCCACCAGCCCAGGAGAAGACCAGATTGCCTTCCGTTGCGGATTTGCTCTGGGAATCGAACTTTTGGGTTTGCAACTCCTCGTCGCTGGTAACCACATACGGAGGATTAAAGAGCAGGACGTCCACGGACCTCCGGCGCAGTGCATCCGCCAGATTGCAACGGATGGCACTCACACGTGCTCCATTCCGGGCAGCTGTTCTTCTGGTGGCATCGCAGGCCTTGGGATTGATATCTGTAGCAAGGCACAGCGAGGAGCTAGCCAGCCTCTTGGCCAGAGCTGTGATAATCACCCCTGAACCGGAACCCAATTCCACGCACAGTCTCGGCTGCAGCTCATCCAGGTAGTCCAGATCCTTCTCCAATGCGTCCAGCAGCAGAAAAGAATCCTCCGCCGGCTCATAAACGTGTTCGTAATCCTCCAAACTCAAGTGGTCGATGTGGGGCGTCTCCATGACGCTGCTCTAGGATATGTTAGTGCTGAGGGCAGAGTCTAGCAGTGCCTGTCGCCGCCGCTGCTCCTTCTCGATGAGCTTGTGCAACCCAGTGAGCCGCTCCTGACTGGTGCCCAGAACGTTGCTAATCACAGTCACCTTGTGCTTCACGTTCAGCAGCTCCTTCACCTTGTCCGCGAACTCGGGTATCTGACTCTGCGCCCGCTCTATGTCCCTTAACTGGACAGCCAGGGCATCCAGTTGACCCCTCAGTTCCGCCTGCAGCTGAATTGTGGAGGCCACCCGCTCGTCCAACCTTTCGATCGTGGGCTTGAAGAGGTTGGTAATGCCCTCGGCGAGGATGTCGCGTGTGGGATTCGTGCAGAAGTTCTCCGTGTTCTCGTCCAAGGATGTCACGGTGCTGTCCGAGTCCTTGTCCATGGCAAAATCTGATCCCAAGAAAAATAAATTTACTCTTGGTTGATGTGGATCAGTGTTGGAAAACGCCAGCCGACATTTAGGGCTGTCGAAGGTCTTAAAAAATAAATTAAATTAACTTAAACACACCAATTACTATTATCTATCAGAAATATTTAACTAAATCATAGAAACATCCTGAAAAAGTTAAATTAAATGTTTTAACATTGAAAACCACAAAAATTTGCAAGGTAAATATAATACGTGAATAAGTAATCACTGACTGTGGCAACCCTGGCTCAGTCACAGGTGCCCCAATCGAATATCGGTCACGCACATTCCAAAACTATCGCCTGCGACTCCTTGTGTTATCGATTTACGGAATGTAAGCACTCGACCATCACTAATAAAGTATAATAATAATTGATAAAAAAAATTTATGCTCTGATATAGCTGTCGGTGAAATGGATACGTACTCGGTGGACGTGGTGTACCAGGCTATCAGCGCCCTCTTTCAGGGCAACAATCCTAAAGAGCAAGAGAAGGCCAACAAATGGCTGCAGGACTTCCAGAAGTCGGTGAGTTTATCAAACATCCGGCGCGGTTAGGCCCTACTTTGTTGCTAATTTCTGTGTGTTTTATGCAGATTTATTCGTGGACGATTGCGGACGAGCTGCTGCACCAGAAGCGGGATCTGCACGCCAACTACTTTGCCGCACAGACGATGCGGAATAAGATACAGAACTCCTTCAGTGAACTGCCCCCGCACACGCACGAATCCCTGCGCGATTCTCTGATCACACACATCGGTCAGATCGACGAGCAGACCGACAATGTGATTGTCACACAGCTCAGTTTGGCGGTGGCCGATCTGGCCCTGCTTATGGCCAGCTGGCAGGAGCCCATCAACGATCTGTTGGTTACTCTGGCTCCGCATCCCGCTGCCATTTGGCCGCTGCTGGAGGTCCTTAAGGTTCTGCCAGAGGAAATAGACTCCAGGTATCTCAGACTGGGGGCCAATCGGCGGGAGGAGGTCCACAAGCAGCTGGATGCCAGTGCCGAGTGCGTTCTGAAGTTCCTTTGCATGTGCCTCCAGCGTGATGATCTCGACCAGCAACGCGTGTGGAATGCCGCGCTAAGGACCTACAGTGCCTGGCTGGTGATCCATGCCTTTCCCGTCGCCCACGTCTACAACAATGCCCTTACCCAGCTGGCTTTTCGGTTGCTTTCGCTGCCGGAGACCTCGGGCAAGTTGCACGAAAATGCCACGGAATGTGTTTGCGCCCTGCTCTCCTGCATGAACACTCGCCAGGATAGCGAAAATCAATGTGAGTCCTCGGTGGAGGCACAGATCTTTGCAGCTGTGTGTACGCTGGAGACGCCCTATCACTTGAGTGTGGCGCACGAGGACACCGATAAGACGATCAACTACTGCCGGATATTCACCTCGCTGTGCGATGCCTTCTTTAACGAACTGTTGGCCGATCCCCAGAAGCCGCACTATTGCCTTAAGGGCCTGGACCTGGTGTTGCTTTGCGTGGGTCACTTTGACTACGAGGTGGCCGAGATCACCTTCCATCTGTGGTACAAACTCAGCGAGGATCTGTTCCAGCGCAACGACGACAAGCTGACGGCCCTATTTCGGCCGCACATCGAGCGACTGATCAGCGCCTTGTATCGTCATTCCCAGATGGAGAGCGACCACGATGGGTTAATTGAGGAGAATAATACATTTTATGTAAGTATAAGGATTGGAATTATATCTTAAAAGGGAATAGAAATAATTTTAATTACAATGATCTATGGATGTTGAGGGGTTATGAATTTCACCAGGTTGATAAATTAACAAAAGGTGTCATTGTTGAGCTGAAGAACCGGTTTCCGGCTAAGTGAAGTTGAGGGCTTAGATGCAAAAGATAATTAAATATATTTTCTATTTGTTAAAGGAGGGAGGTTTATTCGTTCAAAAACTTCAAGAAATGACAAAGTCTTCTCTAAATCATATATTTATTTTTTCCCTGCAGGACTTTCGTCGCAAGGTCTCGGATCTAATCAAAGACGTGGCCTTTATTGTTGGTTCCGGAGCCTGCTTCAAGCAAATGTTCCTAATCCTGCAAGCACCAGACACTACCTGGGAATCCACAGAGGCGGCTCTGTTTATTATGCAAAATGTGGCCAAAAATATATTGCCGTAAGCCCAAAGAAATCAAGCCTAAAAAATATAAATTAAACAATCCTTTTATTTTACAGAGATGAAAACGAAGTGATACCCAAGGTGGTGGAGGCCATCCTGAATATGTCCGAGCAAACCCATATAGCTGTTCGATATACGGCCATCCTGCTGATCGGTGAGCTTTGCGACTGGATCGAGAACCATGCGGAATCCCTGGAAGCGGTACTCAACTTTCTGCTATATGCTCTCCAGCAAAAGAATGGCTTAGCCCCAGCTGCAGCCATGGCTTTGACTTCAATTTGCACTGCCTGCCGCCAGAAGATGGTGTGCCACATTAGTGGCCTCGTGGAAATTGCCCGCAGCCTGGACAGCTTTCAGATTAACAACGATGTGGCCATTGGATTACTTAAAGGCATTTCCCTGATCCTAACCCGTTTGCCGAGGGATCAACTGCAGCCAGCGCTAAGGGAAATTGTGGGCTTCCAGCTGCAACCGCTGGCCCAGCTGGTGGAGACGAGCAGTGTGGCCAGCGTGCAGAGGGGAGAGCGCAGCGATCCCGTTTACTGGATAGACAGAGCCTGTGCTATAATTCGGCACACGAATCCCGATGTGCCCGACACTGTGGAGCATCCCACGGTGGCCATCCTGAACGATGCCTGGCAGCTGATATCGCGTGTGATGGACAAGTACCAGACGGACCTGCGCATTATGGAGCGAACCTGCCGACTGATTCGGTATGGCATCCGGATGGTGAGGAAGCAGGCGGTGATGCTGGTGGAGCCGCTGATCAAGCAAATGGTGTTACTATATGCCGTGCAGCACCACAGCTGCTTCCTCTACGTAGGCTCCATCTTGGTGGATGAGTTCGCCAAGTCTAGTGAATGCATTGGCGGCCTGCTGGAGATGTTGCAGGCCTTCATCGAACCCACCTTTGGCCTGCTGCAAATGGAGAATGGACTGAGGAATAATCCCGACACCGTCGATGATTTCTTTCGGCTGGCTTCGCGGTATTTGGACTGCTGTCCGCTGCAGTTGCTCCAGAGCAGCCTTATCACACCGATCTTCCAGTGCGCCCTCATAGCCTGCTCCCTGGACCATCGAGAGGCAAACTCGTCGGTGATGAAGTTCTTTGTTAATCTCCTCGTTTGGGGCAGACCGAACAGTCACAGCCGGAACGCTGAGTGCCGTCCTCTGGTCGTGGAACTGGCCTGTCAGCATGGCGGAGCTCTCGTGATGAACCTGATCCAGGCTTCGGTATTTCAGTTGCACTCTTACATGCTGGCTGATGTGGCCGAGGTGCTCAATGAACTGAAACAGGTGGTGGGCAATGATCGGATGCAGCCGTTTTTGGTCCAAGCGCTGGAGGCGCTGCCCAAGAAGAACAGCGGTGGGTATGTGACAGCAACGCAACAGCAGCTAGATGATTTTAGCAGAACGGTACTGAGGTGGGTACTAATCTTGTAATTAATTTAAAATTTTAAAGGTTAACTAACTTTTTTATTTCCTAAATTGCAGTGCGGACACCACGAAAGCCATTTCGCAAGCCTTGAAAACCTTCACGCGACTCTTCCGCTGAACAGCTTCCGGTTACCTGGAAGCCCCACCTGGATTTTTGATTAATTCTGTACATTTAAATGGAATGTATGAAACAAACTGCAATGGCGCAAAACAATTTGTTGAAAACGCACTCTATTAATAATCTAGTTGAATCGATTGTGTGTGTGACGTCATAAGTTTTAAATAACGTATTGTATAATAATGAGTGCGGTTAAGAGATCCTCACAACCCTCTAGCCCTAGCATTAAGTTTACAATTAAATAGCGCACTCCTAGATTTAAAGTTCAACGACCCCCAAAATGACTCAGAAACAACAACAAACTAATACCAATAAAATACCCTTACTTTTAGCGTTTAATGATTCGAAAAACTAGACACATATATAAGGGACTTGGATGTTTTTTTGTATTGTGAAAAACATGTTGAGTATAATATTTATTCATTGAGAGAAACAATCACAAGGCATTTGGCTGTAATAAATAACAGAGGGGGAGTTGTTTTTTCAGGCTGATATGGATATGGAATTGTGTTCAGCTTCGATATTTAGACTGTGCGTCATGGCATCATGTGTTAATACATTTGTGATTCAATTTCTAGGAAGGGTACAACTTTCCCTCTCTGGATACTAATCAAATGAATTATATATAATACCAAAAACAAATACGTATTGTAAACGAGAAATGTGAAGATAAACCTTTTAAGTTACCAAAGTAGTTTTTAAGTTGATTTTAAATATAATTTTTAGAGACTACAAATTTAATTGCAAACAAAAAAAAAAACACTAATATTTCTATTGGTAATTTGTACATCACAGTCGAAATTTTGAAATAACAAATTTGTATATATTTGTTTTAGTTTTGCTTTAAAGCTGATATAAGTTTGGCTGTGTTTCTTTGAATTTGTGAATACCTTTCTGAATTTTGAGTGCTAGTTAAAAAAATGAACTACTTTGGCTAACATAAATATGTCTAAATACTCCTGTTACCCTTAATATTAATTGCACATGTTCTATAATTGCACTTTACGCTTAGCGACTACAAACTACAGAACAAAATGATGAACTAATGGTTAATATTTTCTGGTGGAGATTCCGATTTAAATAGTTTCGGTCCTTGGGTCTATCTTGTGAATAGCCTGCATAAGACTTTCGGTGTTTGCAATATTGATGCCCTGCTTGGACATATCAGTCAGTCGGTCGGTGATGGGCTTTTGGTCCTGGCCACGCTGCCACCTAGAATCATGAAATTATCATTAGAATTTAATTTAAATTTGTTCAATTTATATTCAAACTCACCATAGATGTGCACAGGTATGAAGCAGGGGAATATAAAGCGGCAGCAGATCAATATCGCACAGAGTTTCGAAGCGACTTAGCGCCACCAGGGCCCATCTCTCGGCTGCATGATGGGGCACCGGGGATGATGTGCAGGCCGCCACCAGCCGGCAGAGTATTAAAAGTACCGGTCGGGAACGGTTCATGTAGATCTTGTTCAGCAAACGGAAGCAATTCTCCAGAATTGGTATGGCATTCTCATTGCGCCGCTCGTCCAAGAACTGGCATGCCCTGGACAGCTCATCGTGCTGCAGGAAGCGCAGGAACTCCTCCGAATCCCGGAGCTTCGTCTGACCGGCCACATAGGTGAGAAAGGCCTCAAAAGCGGCACTGCGTTCGCCAATGAGCTCTGACTTAAAGTTACCCATCAGTACCTTGGCCGGGAAATACTTGTTGGCCAGTTCTGTGGGATATTGACGCTTCAGGCCCAGATAAAGCTCGCGAAAGTCCGTGTAGCGCCGCTCGATCTTCGCCGGTTGAGTGTCCGCGGTGGCCCCATCCTGGCTCACTGTCAGCTCATAGACCACAAATCGCTTGATCTTGACATCCTCGCCATCGGGTGGCATGATGCGGGCCAGCAGGATGTCAAAGCGGAGGACGGTGCTGCCATCGGTGAGTGGTTTAAAGGTTTCGGTACTCGATGAGGGTCGCTCCCAGACTCCTATAAATACATAATTTGTTGAGGTTTTAGAAAAGTACCTAAGGGTTTGTATTACACGTTTTTTTTTTAGATTTAACTATTTTTTTTATAAAAATAATCATTTTACAGAATAAATCCACAATTCAAACCCAACAAAGTAATATATTTATGAAAATTTTGATCTGTAAATAATCTTCAATATTTTCGTATTTTTCTAGAATTTCTGCATGTTTTTTTCCCTCTTATCTAAGCTCCACTGTGCTCCCCTTTGGGTCTAAAAGTGTACACACCTTTTTGCATGGCCTTATCAGCCTCCGGTGGCGGAATGTCGAGCGCTGCCGCCTCAATGGCTGGACTGTCCAGTTCATCTGGACCGGGTGCATCCCCCTCGAACGACGGTTGGTGGGGCAGCAGGCGCTTTGCCATTACAGCGTGAACTGGCATAGGGTCAGCGAAAATCAGCCAAATCCAATCAGACCTGCTAATTGGAAGTGTAACCTACTCACAAGCCAAATGAGGAATGGATACTCTTTGTGTTTTGTTGTTTTTCACTGGATGCTGCTGGTGCTGCTGCGTTATATCCGCAACTGTGCACTTGCAGTTCGTTTCTGGTTAATTGCGGATTATGCGGTTTTCATATTGCTGCGGCCGAGTTGAGTCAATTCCACAGTGACTAATCCCGCCCCAAACAAAAATATTGTAAGTGCGAGGCGCAGAAAGTGGGACGGGAGGCCTTTGTCTTGGCGCGGGTGAAACGCACATAGGCGACGCACGAATACCCTGTGCGGGGGAGGAAACCACATGCTGAGATAATCTTAAACGTGAGACATGCAACTTTTCGTGGATAAATTATGACTTTACATTATAATCTTTTAAGCTTCTCAAGATAATCACAAGTCTCCAAAAAACAAGATAAATTGCTATTGCTATTAGGGATATATTTATCTTATATATAATATGTACATTTTGTATAAGTTAAATATTTTGAAATTACAAGTAACCACGTAATTCTTACTAGCAACGTATTATTTTCTACACTTTTAGTTTTTATTAATATTTAATTTGAAATTAATATTAGCTTTATATAAAAATTTCAAAAGTGTAATAGAATCGAAATACTTCTCTTTGTAGGGTATGACAACATAGAGCAAGAAGCAAAGAGTTACCCCAATTTATCGTTTTCAAACACTGAAAACTATCGTTACCGTACTAATTTTTGGTATTAACTCGATTGGTTTTAGTATTAAAACTAATAATCGACTTTTTTGCATCTCTTCCCACACAAAACCAAAACACCAAAAAAACAAAAGAAACTATAATCTCTTATCAAGGAATTTTAAGAGAAAAAGATGACGTTGCCCGAGTTCTTTGGCTGCACATTTATCGCATTCGGGCCTCCATTTTCCCTTTTCGTGTTCACCATTGCCAATGACCCGGTGCGGATCATCATTCTCATAGCGGCGGCCTTTTTCTGGCTGCTCTCCCTGCTGCTGTCGTCTCTCTTGTGGTTCGCCATGATACCTCTGCGAGATGTTCTGGCCTTCGGCGTAGTCTTCTCGGTGCTATTCCAAGAGTGCTTCCGGTACATCATTTACAAGATTCTGCGGAGCACGGAGCAGGGACTGCATGCGGTGGCCGAGGACACGAGAGTGACGGACAACAAGCACATCCTGGCCTATGTTTCTGGTCTGGGTTTCGGGATCATATCGGGAATGTTTGCCCTGGTCAATGTGCTAGCTGATATGGTGAGTTATGGCATGGGAAGTACATAGTTTCCATTAACTTAAGATCTTTCTTCAACTCAGACTGGCCCCGGTACCATGGGTCTCGAGGGTGGCACGGAGCTGTTCTTTATCACATCGGCAGCCCAGGCTCTGTCAATCATTCTGCTGCACACCTTCTGGAGCGTGATCTTCTTCAACGCCTTCGATACGAACAACTACCTGCATGTAGGCTATGTGGTGGGCAGCCACCTGTTTGTCTCCCTCATAACGCTGCTCAATGCCAGCGAGCTGTATACTGCTACGCTGCTCATTAACTACGCTATTACCATTTTCACTGGCGTCCTAGCATTCCGAGTGGCTGGTGGAACGTCGCGTAGCTTCAAAAAGTTCATTACCTGCCAGTGAACAAGCGCTTAATATTAACTACCTTAGGTTACAGCCCTTGGATAACATTATTTAAAGATAAAACATTAAAGATATTAACCTGTATATGATTGATATGTAAATGATTTCAAATATGAACTTTAAGACTGTTCTTAAGTGACACGTTTATTAAAAATATTTATGTACTGATCCCAATTGCGATGGAGTCTCATTTAAATATTCGAATTTCCGCAAATAAAGACATTTACATATTATATTTAATAAGAAGTGCGGGGTTACCGCACCAAAGACAATATAAAACTCGATTTTAGGGAGATACATAGATTTAAAAATTCTATTTATTTGTGATCAAAGAATATTTTTTTCGATGCGAATGCAGAAAAATACTAAAACTAAAGCGTAAAATAACCATAACTACTGGCTATAGTCCATTTTCCTGACATTGATGCCATAGTCAGCCAAGGCCGGCTGGAGATCCTCCATTGTCAGCGTGAACTTGCGATCCTTGGCCTTGGATCCGCCGGGCGTATTGCTGGTCTGCATATGGGTGCGTGCCTTCGAGTGCTGCAGTGCGTCGTCGATGATGTCGGACATGTACTTCTGGGCCGCAATGCTGATCAACCGGACGATGCGCTTGTCGTCCGCCTGGAAACCTCCCATATTCAGATAGTGCGATGTCACCGCATCCGGAATCAAGGGTGTATACTCCTCCAGCTGTGACATGAAATCGCTGAGATGCGAGGCCGGCGTGGAACGTTCCCGATCTCCGAGAGCACTGGCACCTGCGCCCGATGACTGTCCATGGTTACCAGATGAGCCACCGCCGCCGCCGCCGGCGCTGGAGTTGTGGTAAATAATGCCAAAGTTGGAGCCCACCATCGTTGTAAATAGAGAAACAAATAATAATTTGACAATGAGTGCTATCGAGTGATATAATCGATTATTCGATAAGATATCTTCTTCACTTGCCAATCGATTGAAAGACAATGTATACAAAAACACATCTTGCAATCGCTTCGAAAACAACAAAATTCTTGTAAACCAGCAACTAAATTAAAAGTTATTAAGAAACAATGGCTTCCGATGGTGAGGACATCACGTTGACGCCCACGGAATCGCTGGCTTCGGCCACAGACACCGAGGACGAAGAGATGGGAGGGCAAGTGCATTCGGACATGGAAACCGATGAAGAAGATTTGGACGTGGAGATTGTGCCAGCCACCGCCGAGGATGCAGATATGGATGAATTGCTGCGTCAGTTGGAGGACTACACACCCACCATTCCGGATGCCCTAACTACGCACACTTTGAAGAAGGTACTTACTTCTGTGGGGATTACAATAAATGTACTATACTATTACCCTACTTTCCTAGGCTGGCTTCTCCACGGTGGACCCCCAAATCGTGCGCCTGATCTCCGTCTCCGCCCAGAAGTTCATCTCGGACATTGCTAACGATGCACTGCAGCACTGCAAGACTCGCACCACAAACATCCAGCATTCCAGTGGCCACAGCTCTAGCAAGGACAAGAAGAACCCCAAGGATCGCAAATACACTCTGGCCATGGAGGATCTGGTTCCAGCTCTGGGCGATCATGGCATCACCATGCGCAAGCCACAATATTTTGTTTAAGATTATTATTGTAGTTTTATGTGAAAAGTAGTACGAAATTTAAAGTTAGTAAAGTAAATTCTTGACAATTTTTAAGTTCTTAACAATGTAAACAGAAATTTTAAAAAGTATGCATAAAATATTATTACGTTATCAAATCTTTCTTTGTAGTTATTTGACAATTTAATAAATCTTAAAAATCTTAAAATATTAAAAATGTTTGCTCAAATTTTTATAAAATACCAACGCTTTTGTGAGCAATATAATACCCTAAAGCGTTTTGTCAGGTTATTTTTAGTGCCTTTCAATGCTCTTGTCAGCCGGCCGTAATTTTGTTCGTGCTTTCAGGTAAGTCTCACGCTATTTTGTTGCTTAATTAACTAAATATATATACTTCTATCTACTTTATCTTCTAAACAGTTCGCGTTCCATTGCAACTTGCGGTGCTAGAATGGCGAGCGAAGTGGATAAAGCCCAGACGGCAGCAGCCAGTGAGGACACGATCTTTGGCAAGATTTTGCGCAAGGAGATTCCATGCAAGTTTATCCACGAAGATGATAAGGTGGGCAAAGTCTAATTTCTCAATAGATAGGTACTTAATAACATTATCTTTATACTCTCCAATAGTGTGTGGCTTTCCACGATGTGGCTCCGCAGGCACCAACCCATTTTCTGGTGATTCCAAGGAAACCAATTGCCCAACTCTCGCTGGCCGAGGATTCTGATGCCGACATCTTGGGCCATCTGATGCTGGTGGGTCGCAAGGTGGCCAAGGATCTGGGCCTGGAGGAGGGCTACCGTGTGGTCATCAATAATGGCAAGCACGGCGCCCAGTCCGTTTACCATTTGCATTTGCATTTCCTTGGCGGTCGCCAGATGAAGTGGCCGCCCGGCTAAAGTCCTCTAGATGCTTACCTCTTGGAGATCTAAGATCTTAAAAGCAACACAAACTCCAAAAGAAATATCTTAATAAATATTAAATACAAACAGAAGTCCTCTATTAATGTCCTTTTGGGAGAATTTCTATTAAACAAGTATATTTAGTTATGTTTTTAGTGTTGCTCTTTATTAAATGAAATTTGTGAGCTGGAACATTGTCCATGGTTCTTTGGCTTGAAACCCCATACCAACAAAAGTACTTAAACCTTTTAGGTTTAAGCAAAACAAAATCTCCTTTTTAGAAAGAGCCCTGGCTCCGTAATTCTTAAATTCCTATCTATACTATTTTTTGTTTCTCAATAAATATTGAAGATTAACAATAACAAATTCTATAAAATATAAGGTGACATTTGGTTTAGGAATCATGTCACGGCGCAAGTGGATATCGGTCCTTGAACTCGACAACGCGATTAAGAAAGTCTCGAAGCTTGCCCTGGTTGCGGCTCTTGTCCGCGAAACTCTCGGTATCTTGGCTGTTCAGGAGGATCTCCTCTGCATTTAGTTGGTGGGCAATGGTGGACCGATGCAAAGGGCGGCGGTTTAACTTGTCCAGCCTGGTGCCCACCACCAGAATGGGAACGTGATGACTTCCCAAGATCGTGCGCGGTCGCCGGTGGCGATGCTTGCTAATCTGACGCAGCGGCTCGTACAGCCAGTCGTGCAGATTGTCCTGCGAGCGCAGGTCCTGCAGATTGTACACGAGGACAATGCCATCGATATTCTTTAACATATTCTTACGCTGCTCGCGCTGTATACGACATTGGGTGCTTATATCGAAGAATTCCACAAAATACAGGATATTGGAGGTGGCGGGCATGCGCCGGGGGAACAGGTACTTATCCGAATGCTCTGACGAGGAGGGCGATGTCCAGGTGGGCGAGGGTGGCAATTCCACGGTGTTGGGATACTCGTGGAGCCGTATCTGGATGTTCCAATGGCGCTGGCCGATGGATCTGGAGGCGGGTGTCGGCGTAACAGCGCTGCAGGCCATCAAATTGGTCACGCTCGTCTTGCCCACACCTGGCAATGGCAAGTGAAATTGTTAATAAAATATAATCAGCGGTATATGAGGAGCACTACACACCTTTATCGCCCAACATGAGAATGCGGACCGTGGGCACATCCTTGACCTGGAGCTGATTCAAACTCATTTCTCGGAGGATTCTGACCGTGTTTAGTGTATTACCTTCTTAATGTGTATGATTAGGACCCGAAATCCTAGCTATTAACTACTAGCCCCACGCCTACTCAGTCCCTAACTATATCCTGCTACTTAAAAGCCTTCTATGACCTGAAATTGCTAAATTTACGAAGCTAGATAAAACAAATTACAAATCACAACTTTGTGCTATCGATAACTCGATTAATTGCCGCTCTACCGATAGCTTCGATCCACGAATAAATCGGTTCGTTAAGCTTTTAAATCTTGTGCAAAACACATCCGCTGCCCTTGGATGCAGCTGAAATACTAAACTGACTTAATACAAATTTTTACTATATATAGATAAGGAAATTGTGACTCTGCTAAAAGTATAAAAGAGAGAGATTTCATAGCATCATAGCTTAAACACAGTCGCGTTCAAGAAAATAACACATCTCAAATAATTTTTATGCGATCATAAGCTTTTTTGCTTATTATATAAATATAAAAATATATGGAATATTTAAAGAGTATGGAATGTTTTTTTATAATTACAAAATGTATCTTATGTTTTAAGGTTCGCCCTTATTTCTTAGAAAACTCAATAATAATATGGTTTGCGTTTAACTTAACTATTTAATATATATCATTACCAAGCCAAAATTTATTTTTTAATTCGGAAAGCTTTTCTTTCCTTTTTTTACCCGGTTACAAATCATCAAATATAATTTTAAATTTACATAAAATTTAAATTTGTTTTTTTTAGAATTTTTGACAATTTACCCTCTAAAAATTCTTGAAAAAATATCTAAATCCGCTTTTAATGCTGATCAATATTACATAAAGATGATTCTAAAATGTCCTAGACTGCTCTCATACAAATATTTTTGAATAGTTAAGAAAAACCGAATTAGTAAAAACTTCCCTAAATTAATAAATACAGTTTTTTAGGATACAATTTTAATGATTTTATGTTGCAAACTTCTGACTGAAATGATATACCCTGTAAGGGTATAATAAAGCTTTATCAACAAATATACCTAAAGTAATCTTATGAAAGCCTCTCTTTGAGGCATTTCTCAGCCCCGCAAATCTATTAATAAAAAATTTCTTATCAGCCGTGATTGAGAGAAAAGCCATTGATAATAGTTTTCAAACATTTGTTTATTGTTTATAAACATTCCTCGTTTCATTTCACATATGTTAGTTCTTGTGTATCTGTGTATATTCTCTGTGTCGTTCACATCGCTTGTGTTTTACATTGTTACTAGGCTGTGGAGATGTTTTGTGGGTATATAGTTTTTAATTATTGTTTTCGATGCGGTTGCAGCGGCATCTTTGGGACGCAGGATTCACCTGCACTTACCGCCGAACCGCACAGGTGTCAGAGTTCAGTGTGTGTGTGTGGGAGTGTGTGGCTGTGTGTTAAATTCTTTTTGCCTTGGAAATAAAATGTTATGCTTGTCTTGCAATACAGTTGCATTATAGTATGTATATATATATATATATATATATATATGCAGTTTATTCAATAATATTCATTCGCCAGCAAAGTTTGCCCGCGAAGCCTCAATTTAAGATTCGTTTTTTTTGGTAATAGCATTTAAAACATATATTACTATCATATATGGTTTCACTTGCTTTGGTTTCTTGGCTTTAGTGTTTTATTCTTTGTTTGCCATATAGTAAATATAATTGATTTAAAATTCAAAAACAGCTATAAACAGTTTATCGTAAACAACAAAACTCCGGAAAGAGTCATAAAATGATATCCGCGAGTGTAAGTGCTGGATGAGTGTGTGTGTATGTGTTAGGTATATAGAGTCGGGATCTGGATCTGAATCTGAATCTGAATCTGAACCGAAGGATGGAGAAGTACGTGGACCTTATGCCCGTGTGTAAGTATATCGCTTGGTTATGTTAATACTTATATACCGTATGTCCTGTTCATACTATGCGGTGCTGTCGATGGTTATGTATAATGTCTGCTGCCCTCTCCCCCGATCGCTGGGTATATGTATATAAAAGGATATCGCCCCCCGCGGGAGGTTTATCCTCTGCCGAATGTATTGTATGTATGCTCGTATCTATGCATATAATGCGCACGCTAGGTGGCCAGATTAACTCATATCAACATCAAACATTGTCCTATATCTTGGGTTTGTTGTATTTACCTATAACGCATATCTCTATATTGTATTTGTCGTTACTCATTGTTCATTACTTGCTACTCGATCGATCGATCGATCGATCGCTCGTTCCCTCAGGTGCGCCCGCTATGTGTGCTCTCGTGTGTAACTCTATGGTGAATGATAGGAAGATTGATTCTGATCTTTTGATCTTGTTCGATACTTGGTTAGGTCTTTATGCTCCTTTGTCTGGTGGTTGCTAAATGCATAATGCCTGATTTATCGAATGTAAATTACATACGTACATATCTAGCAAATAAAAGTACATGGACAGCTACATTATCTGGGTTTTACTTGTTTCCTATTTTAGTTACTTATTTATTTATTTACCTTCCGATCTCCCCCTAATCCGTTTTCTAAGTATTGATTTGTGCTTTCGTGATGGGCTATGCGCTGCATTCTGCTTGCTTTGAGAACGTTATGAAATAATATTGATAAAACGGAAATCATTACATATACAGATATTGTATTAACTAACATGTATACTTTATAATACATTCATGTTTTTGACTTTATTTATTTATTTATTTTTTTTTTCGTTTTTTGGTCAGTTCGTGGGTGTCTGTGTGTGTGTGGGGTGGTTGTGCTTGTGTATGTACATGTCGATTTTTTTGGGCTAACACTTACACAGTCGCACAAGGTTTTGTGGTTGGTTATCTTTTGGGCTTTTTGCTCAGTGTAGTAACGCTGTGTAAATAAATATGTATATAGTATGTACCAACTGAAGGAAAACACAAATGAAAGTTTTGCTTTTGTTTTGTTTAATATTTATATATATATATATAGGTGTATATATAATTTGTTTTATTCACTTTCTCAGTTTTAATTTAAATCAATAATCAACATCATTTTATATAATTTCATATAATTTGTTTAATATGCAAGTATATATAGTTTGTTGTCTTCGTCGGCATCTTGTCTCTTTTGTTGCTGTTGTTGTGGATAGGTTTCGATTTTTGTTTGTTGTAATTTACCATTTGTTTAATACATATCGTGTACGCTTGTGTCATTATTATTATTTTATATTTTATTTTTGCTTTTGTTTTCGTTTTGTTGCTGTTTTTGGGTTTGAGATAATTTACAGTAATTATTTGGAAAAGCAAAGTACTTTATTTTTTTTGTTATTGAACAATACTCGTAATAAGTTGTATAGCTTGGTTTTTCCGGTCTCCTTTTCCTTTCATCGGGCTTACGTCACATCGATTTGTTAAATTTAGATGAATTATATTACATAAATATTTTTTGTTTTGTTTTTTTTCTGTTCTCATTTTGTAAGTTTTTTGCATTCTTTGTGTGTTTTTGTATTTTTTCTCATGCATTTTTTATCATTTCTCTTGCGTCGGTGAACATAACTACAACTGTGTAAGTGTGTGTACAGGGGATACACAGATCCCTAACTACGCATTATCATTATCATTATAATATACCATTTACAGGACAAAAACATCTAATGTATTAGTTGAATTTCATTTACTTTCAATATGGAAAAAATCAGAAAATCATGGCTCATCATACTTAAACCTCCTCAATGTCGCGTCTTTTTATTGGAATGCTTTCGCGAGAGTTGTTTTTAATTTTGGTTTTTTGTTTAGCTTAGTTAGCTAATTTGTTTTTGTTTTTTTTAGGTAGGTAGAAGTTCTTGTTATCGCCGCCGCTTTGTCTTCCATATTAAAAATCCCAATTTCTTAGTAGGCTTGTGCAGCAGGAGCACAAATTTGTTAAGTATATATAAATGTATATTGTTTAGATGTCATATACTTGAATATAATATAAATAGTAATAACTATTATTGTTCTTAATATTTCTTTTTCTGTTTTAACATTTGCCATAATCATTTAGTTAGTATGTATATTTTCATTAGGTCCTAATATGATCTCAAAATCAAAGAATGTGTTTAATTTGAAAGGGAAAGCAAAAACAATTCGTTGGATAGTTGGAGAAACCTTAATACTTGAGTTAAATTGTACTAAATGAAATATAAACTATATCTGCATAATTTTAAAATTATTATTTGTATTTTTTAGACAAAGAAATCTATAAAGAAACTAACACTGAGCTCTATTTTTTCCTAATTGCAAACGAAATCTAACTAAGGTTTAAAATTCCAATCTGATCCGTAGTGCAAAATGTTCGATATTACTTTTTTCTTTGTAAAGTTTAAACTGATGATATATTCCGTTGAAATCACGCTTCAAAGTTTAACTTTCATTATTTGCTTTTGGGTTTCGGTTTTTATTTGGTTTTTGGTTTTCTACTTATACGTCTGATTTTGTTAGGTCGTCAAAACTCAGCTCTGTGTATACATAACATTAGTCTATGCAAGGGTTATACATAATATTTATATATAATATATATATATATATATTTTACGATTCGGTTCCATTTCCTCCTGCGAATATGTCCTCTGCCATGTTCATTTCATTTCAAACACACATAGATTTTTACTTACACAGTTAAGTACGTAATGCTCTCAATAATTTTAACATAATAAATAATTTACATAACAGTTTAAGTTGCCCTTTACGTTCTTTGCTCTTTTATATTTTCATTAGTCAGTAATATTATCCACTAGTAATCCTTCAACAGTTGAAAAACAAATTAAAAACCGGAAAGATTCCTCTCATTATTGGACTACTTTTTAAAACTGAAATAAACTTAACACTTTTAAAAATCATACACTCTCCCTCGTTTAAATAGTTTTCCTTGTTTCATACATTGAGTATATATAGAGTTTTCTGTAATAATTTAACATACTCGTAATTTTCATTTAGCTTGGAAATTTCTGAATCAATGACAACAACGATTTCATAGATTTTAAAAATGATTTCATGTGAGTGGAGATTATAGGGAAAATCATTCGAATTACTTTGGGTATGATCATCATAGTTTCTTTCCATTTCGTTTTGCTGTTGTTCAACCAATGAGATATATAACTTAGACACCTAAGGTATTACTTAATCGGCTTTGATTTGTGTCTTCCAGTATGTGTTTATGTTGAGATAACTGCATAGATGAACAATTTGCTTTAACTACGATATATCGCTGATTGTTGCTGTCGTTCCGGGTGAGGAGGATCAGTTGTAGCTGACGTTGATGATGCATCGATTTCAATGTTTTGACGGTTTGCTTAAGTTTTTCTTTGGTTACTTTTATATGTTTGATAGATGTGCTGTAAGTCTGCGAAGGATGAAATTAAGGGGAAATTTAAAGATTTTTAAATATACCAACCTCTTTGGTACTTCCCGATCTTACTCACATAAAGGAATTTATGAATATATTTCCTTGGGATGACTGATATAGAAAATAAGATGCGTAACGCCATAGTACTTTTTGAATTCCAAAATCTTAGGATGCCTATAGAACTGGCTTCAGGTTTTCTTGAAATTTTGTTTTAGCAAAAATATAGCTTCCATATGGATAACACCAATGTAAGCGCGTTACGCATCTTATTGATCTTAATAAATATACATACTAATACTACATATATGATACCATAAATGATATATATTCTCACCTGCTTTTGTTATCCATGGTAGCGCCTTACTTCATGTTCTTCAAGATCTCGTCGGTCTCCTCCGGATCCTTGAGGGTGTGCCACTGGGCTATAGGCCGGCGGGGCGAGGCCAGCATGTCGGACCAGTGACGCAACTCGGTGCCGGTGCCCATGCAGCCGAGTATGCAGCGGCCGATGGGTTCGGAGGTGCCAATACGATCGTAGTCCACGACGGTCACAACGAGACAGATTTTCTGTGCGCGAGCGTTTTCGGGGGGAAAAAGGTGTTCAAGGAAGAGTACGGGCATTAGTATGGGATATTCTAGGATCAGCCACTATCGTCGGTCTTTTTCTTTTTTTAATATATATATTTTTTTTTTGTTGAAGGGGAGGGGAACTGCGCTTTTGAGTAGAAGAACTTTTCGGTATTTCGATATACGTGTTCTGTTATGGGTTTTGAGTTGTTTTTTTTTGGGTTAGAAGTGGGAACTGTTGTTTGGCTAACAGGCACTACGAATGCTGTTTTTTTTATTGGAAGCAGGCTATAGACAGAGGTTTCAGTCTCTACGTGGAGGTTTTTTTATAAGGGCTTTTCTGAGTGCTGTATAGTTAAGATTTTAAGTGCAAGCTACTGCCGTTTCAATCGTTTAGATCGTTGGCTGGAAATTATCCATTGGGCTGACACTTAGTTTAGCACAAGCTCTTGGGGGTTAAAGTTTATAGGTTTTTTGGGTAAACATCTAAAGGCGTTCAAGCATTACAAAAAGCTCCTTCAAAAAGGGTTATGCTTGCTGTGGAGTATTTTATTTGTTTATATATAATTTTTGTTTTTTTTTTTCTTTTTGTTTTTGTTTTGTGAGTTGACAAGCAGAACATGCAAATGTCTAAAGCTAGGTTATGAGTAGCTTAAAATAAAAAATGTTGAAAAATAAACCGAAGAAATTCCTAAAAGCTTTCGAGTAGCGCAAGGTGAGAAGCAAATGAATATGGTTGGATATATATTTATTTATATATCACGTCTCTTTTTTTTATTTTTTTTTTAACCTCGGGGACTAATGAACAAATTACTTTTCTTGATATTCGATAGCAGTTCACTTAAGCTGTGGCAAAAAGAAAAATGTTCATTAAATACGTGTAAACGAAAATGTATAATATTCAATCCCATTCGTCGTTCTTTGTTAATTGGTCATGGCATGGGCGGGGCCTACTTATATGAGACAGGGGTATATGGCTTGGACTAGCACACGTAACGTAACCGTAACAGAGTTCTCCCAGTTTCCAGATTGGTATTTGGACTTATGTTGGAATTGTTATTAATGAATTCGGTATATTCATGGTGATACGCTATACTTCTCTGTGGTGGGGTATTTATTCTGTGTATTACTGTATTTTGTACTGTAGCTGTTGTGGTGCGATTGGTATTCGATATTCAAATCAGAAGACAGTGTCAAAATAATGTACCCACTGCGATTTGGTGGTTGCGTGGTGCATTATTGACGCCGCTAGTATAGGAGTTTGCGATAGTTTGTATTATGGAAAGAGTAGTTTAAGTTGGTATTCGAATTTCTTGTATATATATAGAGTAGTATTCACTGTACTTCACTGGAGTGTGGGCTACATATTGTGTATAAGGCTCGTGCTTTGCTAAAGGGATGCCCACGGATAGTTCAGGAACTAAAAAAATACAAAAAATAAAGTCGTGTCGTGTTGTGAGAAACCAGAAGGATCAACGAACTGGGCATCCCTGCTTTGATGCTGTTTGCTCGTTTGCGAGCGAAGCGGCACACTACTGCTTGCTCTCCATTCAAAGGCGTCTAGGACGGTGTGTGATTGATTCAGCTCTGAGACTCTGTTGAATATCCTAAGCCTAACTAGGCATGCCTGCTGTTCATTGCTCTTCTCTTGGCCAGATTATCTTTGAGCTTACACATCGAACTTATCGAACTAAAAACATAAACCAAATCAGCTGGGCTAAGCACACATCGAGGCTGGTTAAGAACTGAAGCTCAAATCAGGTTCAATAATTCATTTCTCAAAGACTACACACAATTAAAAGCATGGAAATCATAATTATTCAAATCGAACATTTGCTAATTTATCAGGGCTCTTTGTATTGAATATTTACAAACAGTAAATAAGGAATTGTCCAAAATAAAAAGCTGGTACGAATTTTGAATAAAATTGTAAATTACAACATTAAACATTGAATACGTTTTTGGTTTAAAGATTTTATAGAACACAAAGATTGATTAAGTTAGTTTTTTTTTTGGGGTGGGGAAATTTAAGATATCTTTATGGGTATTACGAAGATTGGTCTCTAAGAGTGTTCGGTTGTTTTGGTTCAGAGTTGGGTGTTGTTGTCTCTTGGTTTGGAATACAAGTATTCAATATATGGATATATATATATATATACGGTATATATGTAGTATAATTAACAACAACGATTGCACGTAAGTAGGCTAGTGTGTGTTTAGAGAGGGGAGGTTGGGTACTCAAAACTCGGTTTAGTTTGTAGGTTTTGTAGTTTGGCAGATAGTTCAGAAGAGGACAGTAACAGTAGTAACAGTAGTAAGTAGGTAAGTAGGTAAGTAGGTAGTAGTTTGTAGAGGTAGTAAGTAGTAGTAGTAGTAGTAGTTGTGGTTTTTTTATAGGATAGTATAATACATTCTCGCATACTTGTATTTGTTCAAATGGTACTTCAAATGAGAACGACTCATTATAGTAAGGGTTGAGGGTGCATTTTTTGATACTTGTCTTCTTCTTTTTCAAACGTTTGCCATTTTGCATGATTGCAATTTTCACATATGGATCTATAATATAGGAAAGAATTGAAAGAAAGAAAAAAGAAAACATTTTTCGTTTTTATAACAAAGTAAAATTTTACCAACAATCTGATGAACACATCTTATTATTTCTTTTTTGTTTTTTTGTTTTGTTTTGGCGTTACACATATATAATAATTAATTGACACCAAAAAACATTGATTATTGTATATAAAAATAGATCAATTTTTACTTTGCAAACCCAAAAACAAATGAATATACGCAAGAAAGCAGGCCAAAGGATAAGAGTATAAGCTAATATCCAAGTTTAATATTAAAATATACTGCAGTCGGGCTACAGAAACCTCTAGATATTTAGATGGGAATTTCTCAAATAACTACTGGAGATTTCCATATCCTTTTTGCACTCTGCTTTGGCTTGATATCTTTAACATAAAAATTATTGCAAGTTAAAATTCGATTACCGGATACAGAGATACGTTTTGGAACACAGCAACTTTTAAAACTCAAGGCATATACACACACAACAAATTGTGTTAAAATTAAAATGTACATAGATAAATAACATATTATCTGTCGTCACATTACTTGGAAAGTTTCAATCCGAATATTTTCAGAGCATTAAAAAACATACTGGAAAATGTTCTGTTGTTTGTAAAAGCCTAGAAGAACTTTAAATTGGGTTTTTTGGATATATTCAGCGGCAACGTTTTGTAACAATTATTTTCGTTTGTGGGATCTCAACACGAGGGTCCCGAAATGATGTCGAGTGTGTTAAGTTAATAAATAAATTGTACAGATTACATGCAAAAGTGAAGCTAAAGCAAGCGATAATTCGGTCAGTCGATGAGCTCTATGTCCCGCATGGAGCTTGGCGTTCAATTTGGTTTTCTATTGGCTTGGCCAGGCATACAATAGTATATATAGTATTTATATAAAAAAAAAACTGTGCGAATATTTCGGGATGGAAACGTTGCCGGACGATAAATATATCCACTGATTTGATTTGATTTCTGATTTGATTAGAGAGTAAATGAATTAATTGGAAATTGTAGCGTACGCGAGTCAGGTTAAATACGGTAAGTAATGCAAGTTGATAAGTTTGGCGCTAATTGATAGTTGAAAAGTAGTTGACAAAAAAGTAGTTGGAATAAAAGTTGCATTTCTTTGCTCTTTATCCTCTATTTTTGCTTCCTAGCAAACGTTGCCTTGGCGTTTGCTTGGCCTCAATAAGTTGTTATTGAAATAAGGAAAAAAATAATGGCGTAAAAAGTAAAATAAAACAAACAACGTACTTCACACACTTATGGTAGCTAATTTACACACACAAACAGAAAGCAATAAAACTCGCCGACAGGACCAAAGGGGGCCTAAATCAATGCCCCGATCGTTCCAGCCGGCGCCTTGGTATAACGCCACATTACCAGACAATCCGCCCACGTCCATCTTCTTCAGGTTCTTGGCCTCCAGGATGACAACGGTTAGCTTTCCGGCAGTCGGCACATATCGCAGTGAGAAGCAGATATCTCCCAGCTTTTCCTGTATTGACAAAATCCGAAGGAGAAGGGTTTACGCTCGGGTTAGTATAAATTGATCAAGCTTTTAAAGGTTTGCATCAAACAACATGTCACACAGAGTCTATTGATACATTTACATACATATCCATTTAAATATATTTGGTTTAATAAATATATAGTTTTCTATATCAATTGGGGTCAGCACAACGCCACAGTGCAGGGGAGTACGTATTCGAGTTTAGGTTTAAAACTTTTAACCACTGGTTAAAGTTAGAGGGAAATTATCAAGTGATTTTGAAGAGTTCTTCATCATTTAAATAAGGAAAATAATGCCTTTTCACCTTTTTAATCACTGGTTAAGTTTAACTGACAGTTAAAAAAGGTAAGATAACTTTTTTGATAAGACTTTGAAGAATTCCTAGTTGTGTAATGGAGAGACTAACCGACATTTAACCAAATTTAACAGACAAATAATACAATTCGTTAACTCTTTTCAAATGATTTTAGCCTAAGAAAAGGGGAATTTTTAACCACTGGTTAAATTTAAAGGACAGTTAAATAAGTTAGGTAACTCTTTTCCAATGATTTTGAAGAGTTCTTATTGGTTTGACTGGGAAACCGTGTTAAAAGAAATTAATAGTATCGAAAAGTTTACTGTATAAGCCAAATCTGGCTGTTAAAATTACCAGTAAACAAACAGGCAGTTGAAAAAATCTTAAAGGTTATTAAGATCAAATTTTTCTTAGATCTGATCATTTCGATAACAACCAGTTATGCTACTCTTTTTATATAGTTGCTCGTTAACAAGTACACATAATAATCAAGAATATAAGGTCAACGTTAAGACGAATTACAAAAATTAAAAAATTAAAAACACTTCTTACAAGTTCAAGTTGAAGGGGTTTTAAGTTCGGGGTGGGGTAAACAGTACAGTATTATAGTAAGTTACATCAACTTTAGTTCTTTTTCTTATATCGACAAAACGAAAACGCCACAAAAAAATACAATAAAACATTTACTGCACGTCTTAGAGCTTCGATTTTGGTAAGTGTAAATATATATATAGTATATACCTAAATATATGTATATCTGAGAGAAGAGTATATCGAAAAGAAAAGAAAAGAAACTAAGGCAAAGTATTGAACAGAAATTAAACTCTTTGATATTGTTCAAGTGTATATCTTTGTATATAAGGGACTCGTGTTTTTTCTTTCTTTTTAGTTATTAATTTTTTGTTATCACTTTATAACCATAGCACTTACATCTTTGGATTAGTATTGAGTTTGTCTTGTTTTCGATTTTTTTTTTTAAATAACACCCAGCTCAAAACCGACTGCACAAAATGCAAAAATATTTTGGTTTGTCAAAATTGTTCTTAGAAACTATATTGATATGAGAATAGGAGAAGGCATAGACAGAGAGTTAAGAAGTTGAAGTCAAGCAGAGTTGAACCGATTTTTATGTACAGTAAAGAGTCTAAATTTTGGAGCTCTAGTTGGACCCGATATCAAAATGAATAAAATGTTACTTATACAGAGAAAATAGAGAGATATATTGATTTCTTATGTACATGAAAGGATATTATTAAAGATCGTATATATTTTACAAATGAAAACACTATCTAGGTTATTAGTATTTCTATGACTTAATATATGTATATAGCAACCCTAGGCTGGTTCGAACCGCTTGTTGTTTTTGTTTCTTTCTTTAAATTTTCATTATTATTATTTATAACACAAACCAATTCGATGCCAATTCCTCGAGCACTTCTGCAAGGGTCAAACTAACCCGGGAAATCAAAAAATCGTATTGGTTGAACTATAATTTGTTAGCTATAGAAAATGTGGTTGTGTGTTATTTGGATTAGTTAAAAAAAGTTTCAAGACAGAGACAGAGAGCGAGCGAGCGAGACAGACAGAGAGCGAGCGAGCGTTATAGAGAATTTATAGAGTCTTATATCGGAGTCACTTACCGCAACTTTATAGGTTTTTTTGTAATATTTTGATTTATTGAATTCGATTCATATTCAAGATATTTTTTCTTTGCGTTTTGATATGCATTTCTGGGCCTTTCAAAATATTCTTTGTTAAATGTTTGGTGAATGTCTCATGGTAACCAAAATGTTTCAAATCACAATCGTAACGGAAAAGGAAACGGAAACGTTTAAAGTCAACGGAAACGGAAACGAAAAGAAACATGTAATCATAATATTTAAAAAACAGGATTATTGAGCATTTGTTTTTTGTATTTGACTGTCATCGAAGCTCTGCTTACACATTACAGTACACAATTAGGTTATGCAAATGAAAACATAATTACAGTACACACATATCGGGCGAGACAGCGACAGAGAGCTAAACACAAAAACGTAAGACTTAAGAAGCGTTTTCATATTTCATATTCATTTTCATATTTATTTCCATTTTTATTTTCATATTAATTTTCATTTCGATTTTGTTCTAGACTTGTCCAATGGCTTGGCTCTTGATACATTTACATTTTGCTGATCGAACAGAATTTTAACTCAAACACAACGAACAGAACTGGGAACACATTTATGACGACAACAACCAAAGCAAATAACGATAATTATGAATCTTTTCGGCTTCGATCGTATATACTTACATGTTTATCGCATGATTCACATTTCGGATTGAGATTTCCCCATGGCATGAGTCAATAAATTTCGAGTACAGTTTGGAAATTTCGAGTTTTCGAATTTTGTGTTTTACAGATTTTGGTTTGGTTTGGATTTTTTTTTTGATTTTTTAGCGATACGTTCAAAAATAATTAAAGAGAAAAATTAAGAGCGTATTAAAAACTTTTGAATTCCATTTCCAGTAGAATTTTGATAAGTAATAATAGTTGTAAAATTTGGTTTTTAGAAAAAAGTTTTTTTTTGGGTATAGTTTTGTAACCAATTAATGGTCGTATGTCCGTGTTCGATGTACGTGTGATGTGTTCTGGTGTTAGTTACTAATACTTAGTGTGGTTTTATATATTAGTATAAAGTCGTAAGCAAAAGGAAATGCATGCAGTAGAGTAAAAATTTGTTGAAAAGGTATATTGCAGTGTTTCTAAACTAATTTTAAGTAAGTTGTTGTAGTTCATATAAGAAAAGGTTACAGTATTTGGATTTTTTTGATACTGAAGCTGATTTTCCTTGCATGAAAAATGCATGGAAATTGTATTTTTGTAAATTATTAGACAGTTGCTGGATTTGATTTGGGATTGCGAGATGTTCTTTGTTTTTTTTTTATAAGGAATATATAAATTATTAGCTCGGAAAATACTTAATCTTAATATTTTATAAATTTAAATGGATCTAAAATCTTTTTAAAATGGCTCTAAAAATATACATTGTATTTTTTTAATATTTATTCAATTCAAATGCATCTTTTATTATTTGAGATCCCATTAAAATGGCTCTAATCATTTTTTTTAAATGGAAAACCTTATCTATAATATTTCGTAGAATATTATAAGGCACTATTTTATTGTACAAAATATGTAAAAATATTTTAAAACGTATACAAAGGATTGCAATGTTTTATTTTATATACAAAACACTAACTAAAATATGAAAACCCTAATTATAATATATAAAATCTAATCAAATATTTATCTTAAATCCTGCAATTGTATAATATATTCGGCTTTGCCGAAAAATATTTCATTTTCATGACCGGCATTCACAGGCGAAAACTTAAAGCTTTTTCCATTTCTGAAATTGTGTACTTGTGTGTGTGTGGTGTGTTTGTGCTTGTTAAATTGTATTTATTTGTGTTTGTAAACGGCCTTTGTGCATTGTGTGTTTGTGTGTGTTTTTGTGTATCTGTGTTGGATCTTTTTCAGAGCATTCCTTTCATCATTTTCGACCAATTCAATTTAATTAATGCAAATATTTTACAACATTTTAATTTAGTTAGTTAGATAATTTGTTATTTGTTATATTTCAAAGATTCTTTTTTTTGTGCGTTTTCCGAGTCTGTCTGTGTGTGTAAAGGAAAAGAGAGAGAGAGAGGGAGTGTGTGTGTGTGTATGGGTAAAAGTTTGACACTTTATGCAAATAACTTGGGGTGCAAAAGTTGATTACTACTTTAAGAAATTTATGCAAAAGTTTTCAGTATTTTCGATGTTTAATTGTTCCAATCAAAGTGCAAACTAAAATTGTGTAATTAGAGTTTTTTTTTTTTTTAGAGTGGGAAAGGGTATTAAATTCAGCAACTAAATAATTGCATCAGCATGGTGAACGAATGCTCGAGGAGGTTGGCCCAAAGTTGGGAAATTATTTTCAGGAAATTGGAGGAAAGGCTAAGAGAAGAAGATGGGTTTTGGCGGTGGAGAAGGCACTCAACCATGCTGATTGATTTTCTTTTTTGGGCTTTGTTCTTAGGCCACACGTTTTCTCAACAAATTAATATTGCAGTGTAATCATTTGCATATGGAAATGTGAAAACATTTGTCATAAAATGCTTTTTCTTTTTGTTTCGTTGTTACGTGGACATAAAATCGTTAATATTAATACAAAAATTCAACTACAATATTAATGATGCGAGAAAGAATGCAGACATAACAATATATCGGGGTATATATTTATGCATATATATAATATATATATATATAGAGAGAGAGAGAGAATTAGAGACAGAGAAAAAATCAGAGAACAATCGCTCATGAACAAAATTGATTGATTATCATAGGAAAATATGGAAAGATTTGAAGGTAGGTTAGTTAAGCCAATCAGTCAAGTGTGGTTCGATGCATTTTTTATATTTTTGTTATTTTTTGTGTACAAGAGCGACAGTTCACAGAGACAGAGCATGTTATATAGAGGGGAAATCATAAACTCAAATCGTGTATGCAAAGGTGTTAGAGTTCTCTTTTTGTTTTTTTTTTTTTAATTACGTAAGTTTAAATGATGTTTTTGTATTTACCTTCTACAAAAGTTCAAGAAAACAAGAGTTTATATGTTTCGAAATCAATTTTTTTTTTTGAGGGGGGAATTGGAGAAAGAGAAATTTAGAGTTTTATTTTTTTTGTAGTTGTATTAGTTGTATTGGATGTGTTTTCGGTTTGAAAAAAGGTACAAGGAAAATCATAAAACTGTCGGAGAGAGATTAATATAGAGAGAGAGAGAGAGAGTGGAGGGGAAAATCAAGGCAAGGCGCTTTCCCACATTTGATTTTCCCCCTCATTGTTTGCTGTTGGTTTTTGCTTGTTGAGTATTGATTATTTAAATGGTAAGATAATTTCTGTTATTTATTTATATTTGCATTTTGAACTGGGTGTGTAAAAGTTTCACAAGAGATTCGAAAAACTTTTGCTTGTCTGTTCCGCGAAGTTTTCATTGTTTTTCTGTTGATATTGTTTCTGTTTTCTTTGTAATTGTCTTTGTTTTTTATTTTTTCACCGCCCCCAAAAATGTTTCTATAGAGGGGGGTGGGTTTTGTTAGGGGTCGGTGGGGCTAGGGGATCGTTGACTTTAAAACAAATATCAAGTGGGTGTCACAAATGCTTTTGATTGCTTTCTGTTGTATTCTCATATTTATATTTATATAATTTGGTCGTGACTTAGGTTCGAATGCAAAATACACACAAAACACAATCGAGAGAGAGAGAGAGGAGTCACAGAAGTCAACAAATGTCACACGATTTCAGTGTTGGCTTAGTTTTTGGCTCAAAAACTCAGAGTACAAATAACGAACGCAATAAATCATACAGAGAAATATATATAGAGAGATAAAGAAATCTCAATGGATTGTTCTTGAGTTGGATTTATATAAGAAAAACATAAAAAAAATACACACTTAGAGGCACACAGAGTGGTATACATAGACAGAGAGAGTTACGGATATATAGATGTGGTCCCCCAACTGGACCCTGGCCCAGCTTCACATACCTGTCCGCCCTCCCCTTCAACGCTGACCAGGTCGCGCCACTCCTCGATGGTCTGCGCCAGGTCGATGGTGCACAGCGGCACCTTCACCTCGCCGATCTGGTCGTGCTTCGAGAAGCGATCAAAGTCAAAGATGGCAAACACGAGCGTCTTGTTCATGGCATCGGCATAGGGTAAACTCTGGGATATTCAATAATATATATAATATTATTTTATGAAGTATTAAAATAGGATTAAAATATGGATTCCCACCTTAAAGGTGAACGTTTCGTTGAAGACAGGACTCAGGGTCTTTCTGTGCACTTTGGTCTCGAACTTCTTCTTCTTGTCGGGCAGCAAGTATACCTTGACATAGGGATCTGAAGTACCGCCCATATCCAGAGCTGGCAGTTCCTCAGCCTGAATCACCGTCACGGCCAAACTGTTGGAGTTGAAATCGTATTCCAGCTGAAAGAGAGAGATTCAAAAGGCGGCGCCAGCAGGGGATTTCGGTTTTTGGCCAAAGAGGAGACAGATCGAAAAATATACGTTAGTCAATTGGTTAAATATATATTATATTTAAGTATTAATGCGGTGGCCAGGTCTGATTTAGGTCTGTTTCGCACGAGGGAAAATTAAGCGAAATAACATTTAAGGCACTCAACAAATTTAAATTTAGTAAGAAAATTACTTGAGATCCTATTTTATTCAAGTGTACAACATTATAAATATTTTAACTGTGTTTCAACTCAACCTTTCGTTTAACTTAACCTCTGGTTACTTGAATAGTGATGTTAAATAACAAATTTCTATTGAAAAAGTATTAAAAATGTAGTAAGAATATTTCTTGAGCGCATGATATTACCAAAAGTACAAAATTCTAGATACTTAAAAGGAGTGATGCTTTAACTTTCCATTAACATAATCTCTGGTTAAGTGTTTAGTGATTTATAAACATTGAAATATTATGGAAAATGTATAAAAAATTTGGTAAAGAATTATTTAAGAGCAAATGCCACCAAGTGAATAGAAATCTAACTATTTAAAATAAGGCTTTGACCTAACATATTGCTAACTTAAGGTAATATTATCAAAAAAATGATTTAAAAACAATAAAAAAATCTATAAAAAACTAATAGAAATTAAGTAAGTAATTTTTAGATACCAAAATGTTATTAAGCATACAAAATTATAGTTATTTAAAAGGTACTTTAGTTCAAACTTCCATCAACCTAACCTCTGGTTTACATCATAGTAGCTCTAACATCAAAAATTCCCTTAGAAAACTGTGAAAAATCGTTAACAAACTTCTTAAGTGCCAAAAATGTTACCAAGTGGAAACCAAATTTCGAGTTTTAATGTCATTTTGTTTCAGTGTGATTGAAAACCTTGAAGAGGAAGTTACAAAGACTCGTTTTGGCAAATGTTGAGTATTTATTGTCCGCTCTTGTGTGTGGTAAGTGTTTTCCCATGTCAACAACATCAACTGTGCACACGTTTAACTATTTGGTTAGTATCGTATTTCGGGGATTTCTGGGAAGCGAAGAGCGAAGAGCGGGGGATGCGAGACCCCGGAGGGGAACTGGAGAAAGGGAGAACCCACCTTGAAGTTGAGACGGCCCAGCTTCTGTTCGCTCTGCTTGTCCTCCTCGTCACCCTCCTCGGCATTCTCGGTGAGTTCCTCCATATCAGGCTGAACCTATGACATACCAGAACCCAATAACTACTAAGATTTGATGGCGCGTCAGACACTTACTTTCTCTTTGTACGCCGATCCCAACAACTGTACCGACTTCATGTCGACACCCTTCTTACCCTTACCATCTTTGGTTCTTCGCTTCTTCAGGAATCTCCGGACACAGAAGAAGATGATACCAAAGACGACGAGGAACACGAGGATAATGATGGCCACCACGCCCCATGTGGGCAGGCCGGTGCGTTCGGCAATGGCCTCGGTGACAACTTCGCCGGCATGTTCGATCTTCTTGATCACCGGCAATGAGGTGGTTGTGGATTCTTAAAAAAAAAAATTAGATTAATTAAATATATAGTCAAAATTTTAACATTTTAAATAATATTTTTGTTTCTATATTTTTATTTATATTAATTTATATATTTTTTAGTTTGTTACTTACCCTGAGCCTCTGTGGTTGAACTCCTTGTTGTTGATTCCACCTGTGCGATTCTTTGACTGGCCGCTTCCGCCGCCTTTTCGGCCTGCTCCAGCTGTTCCTGCCTGTCCACCTCACGGAACTTGGAATGATGTGTTTCTGCTTCCAGCTTCTGGTCCACGGATTCCAGTCCAGCTGCCGGCTCTGAAGCGGACGCTGGCGCTGGTTCCGCTTCCGGCTTGGCGTCCGCTTCCGATTTCGCATTTGGCGGCATTTTGTTTGTGTTTGTTTCTGGAAATGTAAGAGGTTTTAAATATTATTAAAAATATATTATACAACTTTTTATAAAAACGAATCCTTAGAGAATATAATACTTTGAAAATCTATTATAATACAAGAAACTTCTTGAAAAACCTGTGGATTTTTATAAGTATTTTTTTGAGAGAATATTTTATATTATTTATCTTATAATTATTGATGGTTTTAAATTGAAAATATTTCTATTTCATAGTCTGTGCTGGAAAATGTTAACTAAATCTTTACGTTTTTAAGCCAAATGTTAATAAAGAAAATATAAAATACCATAGTTAAGTACATCGCTCCACTTTAGTTAAATGTTCCTCCTATATATTTTTCTCCTTCAACTTGAGAAAACATTTTCACTACGTATGTGCGGTTAATGTCCAGGCTGTTGGCTGTTTAAAAATAGTAAAAAACAACAGAGTCGCCACAAAGAAATCCCACAAAAGTCGTTAGCAACTTTTCCTACACTCGCATCCTTGAAACACTAGAAATGCGCTGACGGCGCCAACTAAAACGGGAGGAAATGCTTATGTGTGTGTGAGTACGCAGCGAGTAAAAGTGCTTATCCTTAGCCAGCCAAGGGCACGCACTCTCACCCACCAGATATATATATATATAGGGTAAGGTGGGGTAAAGCCGACCTAGTAAATGGTTTTGGCTATAAAATGCTTATTTTACATCGGATCAAGTCTTTATATATACCAAATTAAAGGTTAGACCTTTGCGCAACTTTCTATGCATAGCATTTTATTCATACCTTTGAAAAGTTTTGAGATACAAGCGTTTTACGAAAAAGTTCATTTTTGCTATGTTCAAAAATGATGGGGTAAACCCGACCGCCTATGTTTTTGCTTGATTTAACAGATATAACCTAAATATAGCTTTTGCAATGATATATCAATCAAAGTTATGTTATATAATGGTAATAAAGATAATAGAATTAAAAAAATGAAAATAGCAAAAGAATTAATCAGTATCATCTGATTCGCTGCTCAAATAGCTTGCTGGCGTTTTTTGGTTCGAGTTGAACGTCTGGTTGGCTGCGATGTTGATGGTTTTGGTGTGATTGTTGTTTTTTTTGGATTTTTTGCGGCAGGATTTACCTTACTATTTAGAGGTCGGATTTGCCCCACGACGTAATTTTTCATAAAAACGAAATTAAAAAAGAAATTATGAAAAAAAATGAACCAAACTTATATGCACTTTGTAGGACTTTATTCAAAGAATCTAAATCCACTTACCTTTTCATGCGATAACTTTGACAAAAAGAAATATCCTGCAGTTAATTATGCACAAAAATGAAAGTCAAAATTGTGAAAACAAACTTGTTGTCGTTTGACCATCTCAATGTTGACTAATAAAATGGTGTCATACCACCATTTTCATTGTTTTCGATGCTCTACACGACAACACTAATATTAGTTTGCGTAGTGCTTCCGATTTTCGAAAACAGAGGGAGGTCGGGTTTACCCACACTGTCGGCTTTACCCCACCTTACCCTATATATATATCTGTAATATAGTACAGTATGGCGTATCCACAATGGCACCCACACAGAAGGCTTTGAATGGCAGGGATCCCCCGGCCCGACTTTGTCCTGTTTCTTCTCATTTTGTCCTCTTTCTTCTTTAATTGAATTCATTAATATTAACACTGCTCCAGCTCTGAAGTCGCTTTTCAGTTTTCTTTTTTATGTTTTCCATATTTTCCCCTCTGTTCTGAGCGGCATTTCATTTGCTTTAACAATTTGAGCCGCATTAATTATGGACGAGGGGAATCATCTGCTTGAGTTGGGTCCCCCAGATCCTGTTTTATGTTTTTTTTTTTTTTTTTTGTTGTCTGACATCTAGTGACCCTGAAACGCCATTGTCGCGGAGACGGTCTCCCGGGATTTAGGGGGCTTTCCCTGCCCTATATAAGTATATTCATATCTCGTTGATTGGCAAGAAGCTGTCACAGCTCGGGGCTTCTGGAGTCCCTGATCTCCGCTGGAAATTGTATTTCGTTTGACCCATCAAAAGTTGAATGACATGTGTCGGCTAATGGAATTTTTCAGGGTCTTTATTAAATAAATTAAAATGTTTTTGACTCTGAACATATTTCAAATAAGTTCAGTTTCTTCTTTCAATTGAATTCTAGCATTCAAGATTAATGAGAGTCTTTGAAAGTAGAAAATCGTATACATTACATTTTCACAGGTAAGCTTTATAAATACAAGAAAAATCTTGTATTTTGATTGCATTTATTAAATGTAAAAGTATATTTTAAATATAAAAATATGCCCCGAAATTCACCACTTCTTACAAATATATCTATAAATTAAAATATTAATTATTAAAAAACAACTATTCTCTTTCATAAATCCAACACTTTATTTACTTATAATCCATCTTTTCCGCCCACTCATATGCCCTTTTAACTAATTAATTTTCACATCAGGAAATCCTACTTTAAATAAGCCGATTATCCCTTTCGAAGACTTAATAAAGTTCGCTTTTACATCTCGCATTTTCACCTCTTGCTCGCAGAATTCCATTAAGCCGGTCGCGTTTTTCATAAAGCTTCCACAGCTAAAGATAAATTATAATGGCCACCCAACCACTTATTCACCCAGTGAGGAAAATAAAAGAAAACCCCGTAAAGCGCCAGCAACAAGCTTGGCGAAAAGCAACAAAAAAACCCAACAAAACTTGGTATAGGAGCTCAATATATAGGGCTAAAGTGACTTCAAATTGCCGCTGTGTTTACTTGGCAAATGACGTCAAAGGACATCTATACCCCAAGGCAGGGGAAAGCTGGTGGAAAACTCGGGGAGCCGCTTAAATGAAAAGCCCGCAGGCAGCTGCTTTGTTTATTCGTTTCCATAAATATGCTTAAAATTCAAATGTTGTGGGTGCCAGGCGCGTAGAAAATTTAAATGCAAACTCTGTGTTTGTCTAACAAGGACTTCCCTTTTTGCGGGCCGATCCAAATACACAATTTGCATGGAAAGTATGCGAAATTATGTTGTAAGGGTCGTTTAACCTCGAGGCGAACGTAATTTTTTTTATTTAATTTAAGGAATTATCACGCAAACGTGTGACCACGCCTTGAAGGCAACTAAATTCTTGAAGGTCTTTGGGTTTCGGAGAGTTTTTGTGTTCCACAGAAATTTGTTGAATTTATTTTCGTGTTATTTTTAGATTTTTTTCGGGTATTATTTGTAATAAAACATAGGTATTTTGGGGTTTAAATATTATGGAAAGGAGTTGAATCTATTTTTAAGTAGGATAATAAGTTCATATTCCCATTGAGAATATTAGGAAATATCTAAAAATGTTTCAAAAAGAATTTTTTGCTAAATAAAATCCAAGATGGGTATTCCTTCAACTAAATAAAGCTAATAGTATTGTAACAAATAGTTTTCTTTCAATGATTTTAATTTGATTTATTTTTAAGTACAGAAATAAACTACAGATATTTCCTTAATTACGTGATAGGCTGACTAAGACTTTTAGGACTACGCCTTTAAGCCTTTCCTAAAATAAATGGCCACCAAATCAATAAATTTAAATGCATCTAGGACAAGTTCTGTTATGGAGAGGCTGCCTGGAAATGACTTCATGGAAGGAAAGAGGAAAATGCGAGGAAAAGCAATAAAAAACGGCAAGCTTTCTAGCTAGTGCCACGAGTCTTTCCAGATAAATTGAGTTGCAGCTCAGTGGCAGAAAAAAAAAGACAAACACAAAAAATACAACAAAACGGACAAACACTTAGCGGAACTTTCCGGACCCAAAGGAAAACTCATCAATAATAAATGTACACGCAACAATCAGAAACACCTTTCTCCCGGAAAATGGCAATCACGAACAGGAAGAGGGCAGGACACTTGAACTTAAGCCGAAGCCGAAGCCAAAGCCAAAGCACTTTGCTCCCCATATTTTATTAATGCAGCAAAAATCTTCCTCTGAATTATGGGCACAGAACAAGATGTGCAACCAGGAAAAGCCACAAAGGAAAAGAAGGTCACACGAAAAAATATATTGTATGTCGCCGCGGTGGCAAAACAATTTTGTCATTCTGCCAGTTTTTGTGCTACTCTTTTCGCACGGGTCAACCGGGCGGATGGGCGATTTTTGCGGTGCCCACTTGTCTGGGGCCGAAAAAGTGGCAGCGAAATAACAAACTACGACGCAGTTTGTACCAAAAGGCGAATTTCCCTTTATGGCCTCAACAGCTGCTTGCCAGCCACACACATATTTGTTTGTATTTTTGCAAGTACTCGTTTCGAGGGCCTGTAAAAAAGGCTCAAATGGTCAGTGAGTCCATTGTTGAAGGGCCCAATTGATGGGAAAACATTTTCAGTAATTGTCAAAAGTGTAATAAGTATAGGGCGGAATGTATTTTATTAAGGGCATTACAGTTGGCAATATAATTTGGAAATGAGAGTGGATGATTGGGGTTTGCAAAAAGGGCCGGAAGTGAGGCTAATTTTATTTAAAAGGAAAGTGATTTAAGAACACTTGGTGGGTTTACTGTTGAAGAACTTTAAAAATGTAATATTTATAGGTGTTTTTAAGGGAGAAAAGTAATATTTTAATTTAAGAAAATTGTCTTTAAATGGAATATCTTTTTTTAAGCTAACATTATTATGTTAAAGTGATTATTTGATATATAAATATACAGAGAACAAAGTTCATGATATAATAATTTTCCTTAACTATTCACCAGCCTTTCGTAGGTCATGAAAAATTAAGAATGCAATTACCACAGTCTTATTTCATTTAAGTCCTAATAAGGGTTTGCTTCTACCCAAAATCAGCACTCACGTCTTGTACCCTATTCAATTATTTAAAGTTCATTTTGAAACCATTTTCCTAATAATAATTTCAATGCTATGACCTTTGTCTGAGACTCTATAAATAGACTGATTGTGGGTGTGGAATGGTGTTGTAGAAATCTGAAATCTGATAGTGAGGCGGTTGAGTGGGCATTGTGGTGCATTGCAGTGACACACTGAAAGAGAGAGGGGTGAAAAAATCAACAATTGGCTGTAGATTAGGGGTAAATTCGCCAAATGATAAGATAATTTCGTTTCATCAAATATTCAGTGAGGGGGAGACCATCAAACCGGCTGACAATCAAGCTGTCAGAGCAAATTAACGCTGGATAAGAGTGGATAGACAGGCGGCCATTATCCATTACCGCGCTGGATAAACAAAACAAAAACAACGGTAGCTGCTGGAAAAAGGATTCGTTTCGAATCTATGGCAACATCTGTGGAACCCACGCACGTAATGCGGCCGAATCGAAAATCGCAAGGGGAACCCCAAACCCCGAATCCTTGCGGTTCCGTTTCCCGAGCATTAAGCGGTTGAGCTTTTTGACGAGTCGGAGAGACGCTCAGAGAGTGAGAGGAAAATTCAAAGAGTGGAAAATCTACACTCGCTTTCCTCTCCCTCTCTCTCTCTCTCTGGCTTTACTGCGCACATAACCCAGAGAAGGCAACAAAATAAAAACTTGGAAAAATGGCAAGGGAAAAAGGAAAATGAAGAAACCCAGCTAGATGGACGACGGCGAACAAGGACTTGAGGCCTGAGGACTGAATAAGAATGCCTGAGGAGAAAAACCAATTTTCCACATCATTATGCTTTTCGCTTTCATTGAACCAAAAGTTTGTAGTGTGTTTTTCAAAATCAAAAACCTATGGTTTCCATTCATATTCGTAAAATTCACAAAAGCCCTACATTCACTCCTCCTGTTCCCAAAAATATCCTTTACGGGCGTAAAGGGTCAAAAGGCTCTGTCTGTGTGCGCGTGGGGGCCAACTTGATTATTGGCAATTATGTGCGGTTTCTCCGCTGGCTTCTCAGCTGGATTTTTATTGCAATGCCCTTAATGGCCGGCCGCAGGACTTCCATCACAATCTCTGGCTGTCTCAAGCTAATTACCCAAAAAGAGAGAGAGACTTAATCAAGTTTAGCTCTTATTAGACGTAGATAAGAGGCCGCCCAATGAATAAGTGATATATGCGGCTAAGGGCAGGATTCTGGCAGTCTGGCGGCTCTAATAAACTTAATTAACATAAAATATGTCTTGACCTTTTAGGAGAGAGTTAGTCATGGAAACCGGTTTATATGTAGTAGAAAGGTTGTTTAAATTAATGTTTGATTTGGAATTTATTTTAAAACACTTTCTAATTACTTTTTTAATGTAAGTTTAAATTTTTGTAAACCCTTTCTAATACTTACAATTTTTTGATTTAGTTCTAATAAATTTATTTCAAGTTTCTAAGCCTTTTGGAAATGTTTTCTATATTAAAATTAATAAAAATAAATACCTTGAACTAATAAGAAATTTATCTTAACAGTTCTAAGACATTTCATTACCTAAATATATGTATAGTCATCGAACTGGGCAAAGTATCATTAAATATTTATGTAATTAAATATTTTAAAGGGTCTTATACAGCTTATACATTAAAATTATTCTAAAATCAAGATAATTTATAAGTTCTTCTGTGTAAAATTATAGTAAACTCTTGTTTATATTAAAATAATATTATTTTAATACAATATTTCCTACATTTAAAATTAAGCTTTAAGGACAAACCCCAATAATTGCCCCAAAAAGTATGCTATATATTTTGCTATTAACCGATTAAAACTCACCTCCTAATCAGACAATTTTGCCAATATTTCCAATCGGACTATATCCGTAATAGTTCGGGCTCGCTGCCTTTGGTATTTAATGTGCTTGTTTATCGCCCGCTTTATTAGTTAGATGATGGGTTTTGAGCAGCGTTTAACGAAGCGAGACTCCAGCCAAGCAGAGCTGGGGGGCAGGAAGGATGATGATGCGGGTCCTGGCGTTGTATGTGTGGGTGCGGTGTGCTCCAGCTCCTGCTGCTTTTCTCCTTTTTTTTTTTTTTTGGGTTTTTCGCCTGTGGCTAGTGAGGCCGCTGCCTGCTAGTCTCACATGAATTTCGTATACTTTTTCGGTGTTAAATTATTTATTAAATTTTAGTTTATTTAAATATATTTCATGTTTTTTTCACAAAATGTCAGGAGAGACGCGAGCGAAGAGAGGGAACAAGAAAGAGAGAAAGATGGAGAGTGAGAGAGCGGGCAAGAGAAACGGAGCGTATACGTAATATCAAAATACAATGGTATGCGTAAATATTGATAGAGCGAATTTGTGTGTGTCTCCTTTGCTCAAAAGGTTATGTGTGCGGGTGTGTGCGTATATGTGTGTTTGTGTGCCTGTGTGTGGGCGGAGAGAGAAAGAGGCGGGGGTTGGCAAATTCGCTTTTCCCACAAAGAAAGCAAATTCAGGATAGAGATTTTCTTAGGGCCATTTCGTTCGTTCTTTTTTTTTTCTTGTCCTTTTAGCCTCCTTCCAAGCTTTTCTCTCGCACTCAGACACTTGAATTTAGATGAGGAAACCCCTTTTTTTAATGACTTTAATTTGTTTATTAGTTTAATTTAAAAGTATTAAAGATTTTTAAAGCACAAAGTAGACTTTTGTATATAAATTATTCTGGGGCTTTTTGCCTGGCTAGACGCGAGCACAGAAATCATTTGGAAAAATCAATATCCCAGCAAGTGGCTCACATGCGTTTTCACTTTCAATGATTGCCCATTTTTCTTCAATTCGTTTTATTATTATTTTTTATTACTTGTCTTGCACTTGGGAATTTTTAATTAAAATTTTCTTGCATTGCTGCCATTTTTTCCACGACAAAATTCTGATACACAAAAAATGTTCTCCTTTTTTGTAAGCGCGTGCTACACACACAGACACAGAGTATCACGCACACATACACACGCGCACAACACTTTTCGGTGCTTTAGATGGCGTTTTCATTTATATAACAAATAGCAAAACACTGCCACTGGATTTTCTAGCATTTAACCAATTATTTATAACAATTTCTTTGATTATTTGTGCTTTTTTTCAGAGATTTTCCATGGTTTTTCACACTCTCTATGCAGCTTTAGAATTTTTCTTTGCCCATTCACCTTCAGCCTAGCGCTTTGTACTTCAGCAGTCAACTTCCACGGTCGATGTTCATTCGCGTTTTGGCCCACACGCTCCAGGAGCAGCGAGGAAAAAGCTTCTGGCCAGTCGGGAGACTAGCCAGAAGTCCCAACGAACGAGAGCGAATCGGTTGGGGCATCGATTTTGATTTGGTGGCCAGCGGGTGGCCGACGGGTACTGTTTTCCACGAGCTTTTGGACATGTTTTGGAGACCTCGAAAGGGGAAAGGCATTGGGCTAGCTGAACTTGGCTTATCACTTACGTTTTGAAAATCAGCTGGAATTTACGGAGGATTTAAAACATCAAGATCAAATAATAAAGCTACAGTTGAGAGAGCTCTACTCTAAGGTGCCTAGTATCCAAAGTTTTGCTAGTTAAATTTCTTTGTTTTAAAAACAATCTTGATATGCATAATAAAGTTATGAAGAATATATATCATAATTTTCGGAAAATTAAACAAATATTCATTGCCATGATTTTCTTTTTCCCCAAATAATATTTAAATATATTTTTATAAGGTTCGTTTTTCTACTTTTATTTTAAATATATTTGTTTTTGTATTTTTATTATATTTTTAGATTATAACCTAATTTGCTCCAAAATCTCAATAAATTCCAAAACCAACCCTAATGTTTTCCCACATTTTCTCTCTTTATCCCTTGTACTCTCTCTTCGCTTTCTCCTTACAAAGGTAAACATCTGACATCTGACCGCACGTTACGCTGAAAGCTCGTCCAGAACCTGTTCATAGTGTTTCAGTGCATGCGTACTGGGGCGGAAATTTGTCAATGACAAAGCCGGATGCCAGCAAGGACAACACAGGAGTGAGTGTCTGCAAGAAAGCATAAAGCTTAGCTTAGGAAAAGCTGTCAGGAAAAGGGCTGCCATGCTGCTTTTAGGGTTATTTCAAGTTTCCCAACCAAAAGTTTTCCATTTCCCTCTGTAGTTTAGCAAAATATCAGCCAGATGTCGCCAGTGGTAATGAAAATCCTTCATAAACTAGAACTAAACAACTGAAAGCGTATCAAAATGCATGGGGGAGCATCATTAATGACCAGCCTGCACTTCCGGTGCGGAATTCCGCATGGCAAACACAAATCAAATGCCGAAATTGTGCGACATGGAAGTCCTGGTCCCGTGGCACGTGATCCTATCTTCCTCTTCCGCTCCCCCCCTAAAGGATAAGCTCCAATTATAAATTGCGTAATCAAATAAATTTGGCTAAACCATATAACTTATTTATACGGCCTAAACACACACACACAAACTGATTTCGGACCGGAAACTGCAACTTTTTGCCAAACAAAGTGGCGTGCATTGGTGTAGAATATATTTACATTTTATAGGACATAGCAGGACATACACACTGGCCTGTGTCCTGTCAACAAAATACAAATCAAATAAACTACTGACGGTTTCCTACGAATTCCGCTTGAGACTCCAATTCGTGTTCGTCCTTCTGTTTGAGTTTCGTGCTGAAATCGTTATCCTGTTACTTGTCATTAATTCGAGCCTTCGTGCATATTGTTATTCCTGTCATTACTCCGCTCATTGCTTATATTGTTGTTGTTGTTGCCGCTATTATTGTTGCTCTGTGCGCCGTGCCGTTAAATTAGCCGCTTATCAATTATGTATTTGAATTTAATTGGCCAACTAGAAAGCTCCCGGGACTCGATGGCATGCCCGGGCCCAGGACACCACACACACACTGATTTGCCATTGAAAAAAATGGAAATATGCTTGTAAATTAGTGAAATTTGATTGCGTGCACGGTGGAAAATAAATAAATGAATAAAATGAATAAATAAAGTTAAAGTAAACGTTTTTGCCAAATGGACTTTAGTGGGCTTGATAAGGGATGTACTTATAACGAGCGATATATACATACATAAAATGTATTATTTAATATTCCCAAGGTAGTATAGTAGAGGCCTTTGACCTTTTAGTTGTAACTGCTTAAGAAAATATATAAAAAATAAATGTTTTCTTTTAATTATAAATACTAATCATAAAATTAATCAAATGAAAATTTGTCTGTACAATTTTTAAATAAAAACATTATCAAAGAAATTGAATGATTTTCACATTCACACTTCTTTCCTTGAAACGCTAATTAAACATCTAGGAAAAAAACTCCCCATCGAAATTCCAGTCATAAAGAACATTTGTATTTGAGAATTGATATGAAAACGATTTGAAGAATGACTATAAAGGCATGTTGGTTTTTTGTGTGTGTTTTCTGTGTGCTTTTATGCTGCAATTGAATTTTGTGTGATTTTGGTTATTTGTCGTGGTTATTTGCTGGACACAGCTCCCGGCGGTCTGATTTATTCATTAAATAATGTGTGGCCGCGTCAGGCTCTTGTCCTTTTTTCGGACTCCCTGGCTCCCTTATGCATCATGATTTTCTACAAATAAATTGATTTCAGTTTTCAGCATTAATTTAATAGTTGTTGTTATGGTCCCTGGCCGGTTCGATGTGTTTTCATTGTTATTGCAATTGGCAGTGTTGCTGCTGCTGCTGCTGCTGCTGATGGTTACATTTTGTAATTTCATTTCTCATGGCTCCGCGGATTCCGGCAATTGAGCATTATGCAATGCATTTACATTGCATTTTTTTGTTGTACTGTTTTTCTGTATTTTTCCAATTTTGGTTTTAACTGTTTGCATTGTTTGCGACCAATTTGCAACAGCATTCCGGCATTTTTGCCTTTCTTTCCCAACCAAAGCTGCTTGGCCTCTCTTTTACTATATATATTGATGGGAGGATAATCGTAAACCAAGTTGGAATTTCCATTTACGATTTTTACGATGAAAGTCGTTAATAAAGCATAATATGTTGACCTCAGAGGGCTTTCATCCAGCCACTGTCATAATTCGGATCCTCAGTTGGAAAGTGGTTTTTGTAGAGTGTTCTGTCTCTAGGTATCGTTCTTGTTCCGGTTTTTTGTTGTTCGAACCACAAAAAGCAATTTGCATTTGCTTTTTAGCTAACGCTTGTTTATGGCCATTTATTTGACGGTTCTGGCTTAGGAAATAGAGCTGTTGGGATTACTTTGACTTAAAATTGGTAACCAAAATGGTTGAATCAATTAAAGGAAATGCAAGGAAATTTGATTAATTTATATTTTTTAGTGCCTATAAATTATGAGGAATAATTTAAGGATAAAATCAACTGTAATTCTAAGCTAAGACTTTAGGCTTAAGAGTTTTACTTCCTTTAGAAACGATTCCATCTCTTTAGGTTTCCATAAAACACTTTCTAAAACTCCTCTTTTTAAATCTTAATCTACCCAAAATCAAAATCAAAAACCTTTTTAGCGATAAATTAAGTTATTGCGGCTTACCAGCAAAAGTTCTTTGAGGTCTCACCAATTCCCGATTTGGCTCTTGGCTAAATTCAATCAAAGATCAAACTTATTACTTAACTCCAAAAGTTGCTGTAATACCTCCGGGGACTTTGGCCGCATAAAAGCCGGGGAAACAATTTAATCAATCAACCGCCCAAACTATATAATAAGGCACAAATCTCTAAGAATAACCTCTTTGACTTGCGGGGAAACTTCCATTGCGTAAATTGATAAATCCTTTAATGTTTTGCGGCCCCCCTAGAAACCGGATAATGCACAAAGGGTTCAGTTCCGTACTGAACAGTGGGTCGTGACACAATGACATACACAGCGGCGGCCATGTGGATATGGGAGAAATCAACTTTCGATTTCAACGAAATAAATCCACTTTACAGATTGAGACGACAGGCGGGAGAGAGTGGGAGGTGGAGAAGAAACTGGAGAAGGGGGCGAAGGTAGAGTAGAAGGAGTAGGACCAGTAGCAGGCTCTGCGACGTGAGGACATGGGGGAATTTCAATTCCTTCTAAGCACGACGACGTTGGGGACAAACTCATTGAACGAGGGCGAAGACAAACACGTGCTGTGGGACACAGCCAAGGGCAAGGTACTAGTAGCTGTATTTTTATTATAACAACCTGAAAATAAATAATTAAAAATATTTCATAAATATTTAGAAAGTAAGTTAAGTAAAAATTAAGAATTACATAATTGATCTTTATATTTAAAACATACCTTTACAACTATTTAAGTTAAAAAATTGAATAAAATTATATAACGTGGAAATATGTTATAAAAAGTAAATACATTTATATAAATATTATATTCCAAGTTTAAAACCTTGCAAAAACCTGCCAATAATAGCACATAAATCCTTAATGCCATCAAATTGCCCGGCTGAATATTAATGGAAATACTAGCATTTAAAAATAATTCACAGCTATGCCTAAATAATAAATAAAGTGAAAAGCATTTGCATTATTGATCGAGAGCTCTATTATTTTGGCAAAAACTGTATGCACATAGCAATGGCAGAGGATGTTGTGCTCAAATAATTGAATTCATCAAAGTTAACTCGCACAATTGTGAAATGCCAGCGAGACCGCGCCACCGCCACCAAGGATGCCTCAAGCTTTCGAGAATTGTTCCTGTGCGATTTCCCTGCCTGTCTCAACGATTGTTCCAGTTTAGTTCTGCAAACTTGGCCTGTATGAGTTTCCTTTGATGATGATGAAGAGACAGCGGCTAAATTCGCTAAAAAGAATGGCGTACGAAAAGATTTGCGAATTGACAAAGTGCAAGTAGGACGACGACGACTTACGGCACGAACATGCCAAATGAACGGGTAGGCAGACGGGCACGTGTGTGTGTGTGCGTGTGTGTGTGAGTGCCTCTAAGGACCTCCCCAGGGCGGTAGGGAACTCGAAAATCCATGTCAGTGTCACGTAGTCGAGTGTGCCCCAAAACAGGAACAATAACAACACCAGCAGCCAAAGCGGCAACAAAGCAAAATAAATATAAAAAAAAAAACAAAAGCAAAAGTGTGCTCGAGACGATAAAGAAACGGATACTGTCAATGTGACTTACCCCAGATACACTAATAGATTTTCTGAGGGGAATTCAGAGAGTGAATTAAGGACCTACCATATAAGGATTTGTATTTTAAGAATAGGAAGTTGAAACTTTTTTTAAAGTAGAAAAT